TGTCACGGTCAGCGGCCCCCGCTGCCCCCCTCATCTGCCAAGCCTCTGCCACCTCCTTCAAGCTGCAACCAAGAAACCAACTGTCACGGTCAGCGGTCCCCGCTGCCCCCCCCCATCTGCCTAAGCCTCTGCTCCTTGTGTGTCTTCTGCTTTTGTGTATCTGTTCCTGTTATCTCACAAACTAAATCATTTCCTTCTTTTTCAAGGTGCTTTGTAAATGTGTCATTTTAATTCTGAGTTCTGTTTGACTGGTTCTGTCTCTGTCTGCTTTTTATGTTTTTTGTTGTTCTGCTCTGGGTGTGATTTTCTGTTTATCTGATTCTGTTATTTTTCCACTCATTCCTCAGTCTGCTTCTCCACTCTGTCTTTATCATTCACACCTGTCCCTCATCAGCCACTTGCCCAGGTGCTCTCGTTACTAACTCTCCCTCTGTCACATAAAAAGCCTTTCTTTCCTTCGCTCCTTGTCCGGTGATTGTTCCATGTACTCAGACATCACAATCCTCTTCTGCCTTGTCTGTTTTCTGCTACCCTGATGATCTGCTCTGCACTATCCAATCTGCTAAAAGTAAGTTTTGCTGCACCGACAGCCTTTTGTTTTGTGGTTAAAAGAATAAATTGTTTTGATTTTTGAACTCCTGCCTCACTCATCTCTCTGCAATTGGGTTCCAACATTGAGGTTCGTGACACCAACTACCTAAACAGGTCATTTGTCCTAAAACTTTTAAAACAGTGAAGTAAATATGTTTAGCATTACAGTACAAATATATTTTCATCCTTCGATTCTTGTTCTTTAATGTTCAAACATTCTTCCTTTATCTGGGTTTGGGACTGGCAGAAGTGACCCAATAGAAAAGTCATGCAACAACATCTTGTGCACAGACATACCAACGTTACCAAAAACAGAACCTTCGTGGTGGAGGTGACCATATTCCCACCATGGCTCAGTCAGCAAACTCTGCTGGAGCTTTGGGGCGAGGCGGTGGAGCCCAAAGTCTCCAAAAGTCTCAGAAACACCAGAAAAAGTCACTAGTCTAGTCGCTTTTTTGAACAATAGCCACTAGAGTCTGAAAACTCGCTACAAATAGCAAAAAACTGTTAAATTGGCAACAAGAGTCACACATTGGGTTAATTCAGTCATCCATTGAAGCGGTCATCGTATCGTACATTATGGGATTTATAGAATTATTGATTATACAGAGGACAAAATTATTGTACAAATACGATAATTATCGGACAAATACGATAAATATCGGACAAATACGATAAATATCGTATGTCTGGCAATGCTGCTAATGCAAATTCTGCCAGTTGTCTTTAAACTGATCAGTGTTTGTGTTGCTCTGATAAGACTTTAAGGCCTGTTGAGGCAGGACAACTTGATTTGATTTGCTCTAAATAAATAAATAAATAAATAATTTGCAGCATCTGATTGTTTCCTGCAGTCAGTCATCTCTGCAAAGCACAAAGATTGTTGGGGGGGGGACAAAAAGCTTTAAAGTGTCGCCAGTGTGGAAATGTGTCCAGAATGCATTTTAATCTAAACTTGTCTTGATGAGAGAAGATGACGGATAATAAATTAAATAACTGCAGCTGTTTGTGTCCACATGTGGAGACACTTGACTCTTCCGATCAGATGTAGTCTGAAACACTTTTCGGCTACATTCTCAAGACAAATGAGCTACAATAAAAGACCAACAAAATGCTCTTCTGCTCTGAAACTGTGCACAGAAAACCCTCTAAAACTTGATAAATCTGCCATTTCTATCCATTATTCTAATACCTAAACAAAACCGAAAGGCAGCTTTAGCTCGTGTTATGTAACAGGACTCTTGGCTTTGCTCTTTTTTTTTTATCCGTTTGTGACTAAGATTTGCGTTCAGCCACATGAAGGATTGAGTCTGATCATGACTGCAACAAACCAGCAGGACAGGCGAAGCTGCCAGGATCTATCTTCTGATGAAAAACGAGTTTATAGGGCAGGACGTGGAGAGGGTTTAACTGTTCAGGTCAGAGGATCTTCTGAATGGCATGAGAAAATAATCCTTACTGGAGCTGCTGCACGAAAACGGTTTAAGCTGGAGCGGTTTTGTGCTGATAGAGTTTGGCTGCAGCTCAGGTGAATGAAAGATGTTAAGTTGTTTACAGCGACAGGACGTTAATCCAGCAGTTTGGACTTTTAATGTTACTTAAGGATTGTGCTCCATCAGCTTCAGACACAAATAATTCAGAGTCCGCTCCTCTGGTTTGACAGAGATGGATTTAAAATGTGCAGCTTGTGCAAAAGTCAGAAGCATGTCAGGACATTCAGTTACAGAGGACTAAAAATATGAAGGAAACATAAATATGGTTAATTAATTAATATACTGGCTCTCCTCCACTCAGTCCAACATTAACCTTCAGAAACAGCCTTTAAATCAATTATTCCATTTGTTATTAGGAGCACTTTTAAACTGTTCTTGTGCAAAATTTCTAGAAAATGCAGATTTTTTTTTTTTTTTTTTGTAATTAATTGTGGATTTTCCTTCATTGGTAAAATGTGGAAACACATCCACCATGCCTTCTCCATGCAAACCATTTTAGTAAGCTTGCAGATTGGAAAATCTCAATCCAATAAATTATATTTTCACTCAACCCTGTGTGCCGCATCTTTTCATCTCCTCCTCTTTATCTTTCTGCCTTTTCTCCATTTCTCACTCTCTCTATTTGACCTTTTTTTACATTAATCACTATAAATTTCTGACACTTGTTTTTACTTAAAAACCAGCCTAAACACAATTTAACCACATCTAGGGCAGAATATTAGGACAATAAGTGTTTTTCCCTAACTTTAACAACACTTTAAACATTTAAATCTTAAAAACGGTAAAATAAAACAGAGAATTTCATTTAAATTGTATTATTATTATTATTATAAATATTATAACATATAAAAATGTATTTAAATCTCCTTGACAAGAATGAAAAGTTTTCATCAGATGAGTGTGAAGCGCTCCAGCTGACCGTCTGCGTCAAAGTGTTTCCAGATGTCGATGAACTGCGCAGCTGTGAGCTCAGCCAGGTGCAGGTGGGGCAGCTGCTCCGCCTCGGTCGACATCTCTGCTCCCTCCTTCGGTTCGTCCCGGACTGCTTGGAGGTGGAAACTTCTCTCGGCGCGGAGATCCTCGGATCTGTGAGCAGAACCTCCTCATCCAGGGCTTTTAAACCTCCCGCGGTTCTCCTGCTGACCGCCAGGGGGCGACCGCACCGTCAAGGGGTGCCTGCAGGCTGGAGGAGGAGGAGGAGGACAAGGGGAGGCAAGAGAGAGAAAAGAAGGGACAAGAAGAAGACAAGAGAGAGACAAACGAGAGACAATAAGGAAAACGGGAGACGTCCAAAGCAGAAAATGGAGAGACAAAAAGGAGAGACAAGAAAAAGTCAAGAAGGAGACAAGCATGTGACACTACAGAAACGAGAGAAAGACAGAAAAGATAAGAAGGAGAAAAAGACAGAGACACAAAAGAGAGAAAAGGAGAACAAGACAGACACAAGAATGAGAAAAAAGAGAGACAAGTATTAGATAAGAGGAAGACAAGACAGAAAGTGAGAGACAATGCAAGACAAGGAAGTAGAAAGAAAAGAGAGCAAGGAGAATGAGAGAGAGAGAGACAAAAGGAGAAAAGAGGAAGACAAGAAGGAGAATGAGAGAAATAAGAAAGAAATATGAGAGCGGCAAAAGATAGACAAGGAGAAGACAGAGACAAAAGAGGGACAAGACAGAGACAAGAAAGGAAAAAGAGACAAAAGAGAGACCAGGAGAATGAGATGGAGACAAGTGAGAGAGAAGTGAGAGACAAGAAAGAGACAAGAGGATGATAAGAAGGCGACAAGACAAAGACAATAAAGAACAAGAGACAATGAGAACAAGATAGAGACAAGAAAACAACAAGTGAGAGACAAGAAAGAGACAAGATAAAGACAAATGAGAGACAAGGAGAACGAGATAGAGACAAGGAGACAAGTGAGAGAGAAGTGAGAGACAAGAGAATGACAAGAAGGAGACAAGAAAGAAATAAGAGACAAAAAAGAGACTAGGAGAACAAGACAGAGACAAATTGGAAACAAAAGAAAGACAAAAAGGAGACAACAGAGAAGCAAAAAAGACGAGGGCGAGGCACGAGCGTGTAGAGCCGCTGCTCCTCGGCATCAAAAGGAGTCAGTTGAGGTGGTTCGGGCGTTTGATGTCCCCTGTCCCCCTTTAGAGCGTGTGTCAAATTAAAGGCCTGGGGGTCAGTGATGGCTCATGTGATATTTTAAAGTCAAATATTTGTATCGCTTCTCGTTGTGTTTAAAAACTGAGCATGTTTTTTTTAGTGTGCAGAACCTTCAGAACGCTCATGACACGTGAAGACGTTGAAGCCAAAGCTGCCTCCACGACCCGACCGCGAGGTGGAAGCTGGAGGTGGAGCGCACGAGTAAACAGACATAAATATCACCTCTCAGGTGGTCATGTCAAGTTTTTAATTAGCAGCTCTTTGAGAATCAGCTAGTTGGTCCTAAAATACAGCTTCATGTGTCACATGTTCCCTTTGAATGTTTTTGTCGATCCCTCTAGAATCAAGATCCTCAACTGGTGGGCGGTGAACCAAAAGTGCATCATTTTTATTGGGTCGTGAGCCTCTGTCCGGGAAATAAAATGTAATAAAAAAACTCAAATAGTTTAATCATCTTTATGTTCATGCTTGAATAAGTGACAGAATTATTTAAAGATGTTCAGTGGGAGAGTCCTCAGCTGCAGCTGAGCCTTTTGAAACTCTGGCCTTTTATTTCATCCCTGTGCGTGAAAGTCCTGCGTCTTTTGCAACTTATTCAGTGCGTTTGAGAAGTTGATTATTTTCCCAATGGGTTGCAGCTTGACTTGTACTGGTGATGGGGGTCCTGAAGCCGGACCAGTTGAGAACAGCATATTGTGTCTGATATGATGCTGGTAACACTGTGCCTTTTAAACGGTTCTATTTTTTATTTTGGAAATAATAACTCAAGGCTTTTGTACATCAACTGTGGATTATTCCCCATTTTCAGCCAGAGCGTAAATGATTTGCATATCCTTCATCTGAAGAAGCACAACACCTCCGGAGGAGGAAATCCCGACAATAAAAACTAATTGATGTGCTTCGCGCTGGTAAAAGCCACGCGTTCTCATGAACCTCTTCTTCCTCTGAGTTTACATTTGAGATAAAATTATCCTGTTAATCAACATTTCACACCTTTTCGTTTCCCCTCCGTCACATTCGGGTCAGTGAAGCATTTAAAATGTTTGTGTTTGTTTTTGTGATGGAGGGGGGGACCAGAAGAAGGAGGCAGTTCTTTATCATCTCTCTGAAGAAGAAAGCAACAACAGCGAGTTTAACAAGAAATGGTCTGCAAATATAAAAAGACGGGCTGAATGGAGACATTTAGAGGAGCTCCCCTCGTAAAATCTGAGCTGCGTGGATGATCTGTGAAGCTTGGAGGCAGAACTCTGAAGCTTCATCGTTTCACGGACAAGGAGGCAGATGTTAATGGACGTGAACGTTTCACCTTGATATGAACTTTAACCTCCGCATAATGAACATTTGTGTTGGCGCACAAAGACAAACATCCACACAATTCTGAATAAAAATCAGGAGCTAATCGCTCTGTGTGCTGAGCTTACTGGATCACAGATTATGGAAAATTATACAATCAACACGTCATGAAATGTAAATTAGCTAAAGTGGCATAATGCTGCTATTTAACCTGGAAAGTGAATGAAACGTCGCCAACGCCATAAGAGGCTTTTCATTCCACTTCATTTTCTGAAATGCTGAACCAGCAGCACAGCGTCTTTAGTTTTATTAGGAATTATGCAGGATTAAGAGTGCACATCTCATGAAAACGACAGATTACTTAAAAGATATTAACAGGAACAACCTGTGAATGGTTCAGTGATCTTAAATACGATAGCGTGAATAAAAAAAGGGAAAAAGATGGGCAACGTTATTTAATAATCATTGTTTTCAGCGTTTGATGCTGTTTCACCTCGTTCGTCCTGCTCAAATTAAATCATTCGTTCTTTTCAGAAACAAATGTGAGTTTACAGACCTCGCTGTAAAATCTGCTTTATTAGGACTTGGCCAAGCATCGAGGTCAAAGGGCAAAGATCAGCAGGATAAATCAGGCAGAGAAAATGACTGAGTGAATGTGTGTTTGTTTATTTGTCAGGGATGATATAATAAATAAATAAAAACATTAATCTCAAAAGAAAATAGTTTATTTTTTTAACCAGATTTTGCCACTGGATAACTCCTATCTGTGGTTCCAGGTCAGGTAAACAGAAAATCCATGTAAATACAATGAAAACCGTCTTTTCTCTCGACCTCTGCTTGTTCCTGTTCTGCGGTGGTCCATGGGCTTGAGACGGTGTCCCACCAGGACATGTCTTCGGTCCATCACAGAGCCTCAGTCAAGCTCAAGGAAGGCTGTTGTTCCACATTTTTAGACTGATAACACAACATAAAGCACCCAATGATGTGTGTGGGGGTGGGAGTGGGGGGTGGTAACAATCTTACCTAATCTTACCTAACACTTCCAGTGGCCATTTGAGGGTATTTCTATTTCAGTGGGTAAAATGTGAACATCTTGTGTTCATACTGCCTGATTTCTGTCACGGCTGTATGAGATTTAGATCCAAGGATGCAGGCTGGGCACGAGGAGATCCCAAATGTACTAACATCAATTTAACAAAAAGCTGCCAGGTCAGCAGAAAAATGTACAGAACCGAAGATGAGTCTCAGAAGGAGGTACACGGAACCACGAGGATGAACTATTGAAACCGGATGTGGTGTGAAAACACACTTAATGCTCCACTGAGGGAGAAACAGACACTGATGGATTATATGGACTGGGGCTGATGAACACATGATATGAAGACAAGTGGGAACAGGTGAAAGTGGGCGGGGCCTGAGCAGAACAGACAGAGATGTAAAAGACTGATTCAGTTGAAAATACAAGTAACAGAACTCAAACGTGGGACTGTTTCAAGTATACTGTTTTTAATATATTAACCAAAAAGTGAACAAACCTATTGCAACTCCACCCAAACCACAGATACTGACATGAACACAAGAACCCAAATGTTTTTCACACACTCACATTAAACCAAACAGAGCAGAGCATCCAGATTAGCTGCAAACATAAAAGCTTCAAAATAACTTTTGTGTTGTTTCGTTTAGAAAAGCAGTGTGAGGTTTATACGAGAGGACAATTGTGCTTGTAAAAAATAGTTGGGGGTGGGGGGCATATTTTTAAAAAACATTAGTTTTTTTCTGTGTAATACGAGCGCTTCAAATGCAGCTGTGTGACTGTTTCTGCTCGCAGAAAAGTGGCCTCTGGCTTTTCTCTGCTCATGCACAGCGAATAAAAAAAATCAGCTGCTGAATTAACATGAACGACTGCAGCCAGCAAGAAGCACCGATGCTGCAAAGTCACCACTGTTTAACGTCTCAGATTCACAAATAAAACCGCTGAAACATTAAAAGCAGCTGCATGATGAGCCCCCTCCCTGCAGCTGAACCTGTCAGCTGATCAGCCTGACAGGAAAACAGAAGAAAAGACACACGAAGACAAGGAACGGAAGGAGAAGTGACAGAAGTGCTCAGTGGGGTGATGTGCTGAATGACAACTGCAGTGAGAAGAAGCGAGCCATCCACCTGCAGGGGTAAGGTGTCCAGATAAATCATGAAAAAATGGCTGCAGGTAAAAATGGAGGCTGTGAAATCAAGTTGGTAACATTTTCAGGTAGTTTGAGGTTATAACCTCTCTCACTGCTCGTTTTTAACCAGACACACAAAGATCAGACTATGACAGAGAGTTTGATCAAATATGTGAGAGTTTGATAACGTGAAAACAAGAGTGAACTCAAATATCCTCTTTTAAAGCTTTTGTTTTGCTCATTCCAATTACTTGAGTGTTATTTTTTCTATCATTAGAAGTTATTAGATTTTGTCTAAAAGTTATTTTCCAATATTTTGTCACTATTAGGGGTTCAGATCTTCAATGGCTAGGTTTTGCCGTCTAATGTTTAACATAATGGTACTTCCTCCAGTTATTTAACAGTCAACAATGGTGTACCACAAGGCTCAGTCTTAGGACCTACCCTATTCACAATCT